AGGAGGAACAGAGGACCCTGAAGAGGGAGGCGATGCGTTCCTCGTAAACGTCGGTTCACACAAGATCTACACTGCTCCACTTCCCAGAAGACGGTATTCTTCATAGTCACCACCGTGAAAACCTCGAAGCTCGCGTAATAAAACCTGTGTGCTTCAAACAGTAGAGAAGTAGCCCAGCAATCACATAGTCATATACGTAATTAATCTTAAAGTAGTTCATTCCTCTCTAGCCTGACAGACAGACATCAAAGTTGCGGAGAAATTGAATGCCACCTTCTTCAGGCTTCTCATGAAGGCAGCAGATTCTGTCAGAATATTGCTACGCATTACAAAGCGGCATGAAGCCACGTGACGACTGACAGTAATCTCTACGCTCACTACGGCGGGTACCTCACCTGTCGTGAATATCGATAACTTTCATGTAGTACGTGTAGTCCAGAGCTACCAATTTGTATTACACTTAACTTTGTTAAGGACATTCCAACTGTCAGACTCAGAGATTTGATATGGTGCCTGGGACAGTCACAAATGTGGGACCCAAACCCAACTCACAGATGCCTATAAATATATGGATATTTTTAATAAGCACCTTAAAAAATTACACTATCTATCTTATAAGTTATGCAAACGGATGTCGGTGAAAGGCCACGAACAATAAGGTAAAAATTCAGTTCCCCCTATTCCACGTATGTGAAAGGACAAATTTCACGTGTCAGAAATGTACAGAATTTCCTGCAGTGGTGACCATGCCCCCTTCTGGTCATTCAAACTGGATATAAGAAAAAGCAGTTGTTTTCTGTCCAGATAAGAACAAGTCATAACTCGCCAATAAATCAGTCACCATTTCCGAAGTGACTGAAGAGAACATTAGCGACCACGGAGAAATGTAACAGCTTTGAACTGTCACAGTAGATGTCATTTCTTACTTCATGTCCCATTAAACATTCCTTGGCGCTTGCATCCATTAGAAGTGCAGCATAAATAATTTTAACGTCATAGATTCAATGCCGTTACTGCTGTCCCATCTCATAAGTTCGCATACCCGCTACATTTTAGTGAAGTTACAAAAGAAGAATGGCCACCAATGCCACAATTTTCATACTAATTTTTACAGAAATCGGAAAACTATTTCCAAAACCACATCACAGACTCTCTGTATTACGACACGTAAAGTTCTCAACAGGGTGCACAATAAATTCGGTCAACATTTTCGCGTGGATTCACTGAAGATGCTTTCAGTGTCGAGATTATGCAGTTTCGAATGTAGGATGACAGATTAATATTGAATTGAAAGGATTCTTGGTTTTTCCCAGAGAGTCCAGGATTCTGTACCTTGCCCCATGATCTCAGCCGGCTGAGCTAAGATCGAAGTATTGTTCCAGATTTAGCATTTATATAATTCTTTTACTCTTAAATATTCCTCCCTAAGGAAGACGTTTGTTCTTAAGCAGCCTGTTGCGGACATAGTCTTTGTTTATACACACGAGTCAGAGACTAGTTACTAGTGCTGTCTGCCGGTGTGATTCTCTGCGGTACTGAATATTGCCAGTCTGCTCTCAACTTCCACTGGGAGTGCGTTATTTTCTAATGGCATTCATCGAAGTTTGTGAACACTAAAATATTCAAATATAAGTGCGTTGTGAGTGAAACCTTAAGAATACATAGAATTTACGTTCTAAATACGTTGATGTGGCTCCTGTTGCTTTTATGTTTATTTTAACGTTTTGAGTTCAAGAATCTTTGCCTCATGCGTCTGTATGGTGTTCTGCTTAATTATTTAATTAATTAAGAGCACGCGGTCAGTTTTATGATTTCTCACGGAGGAAGCAGAAAACTTAATGATTTTCTTCGGACAAAGAGGCCCAAAGATGCCGTTCAAGGAACGTCGTTCAGTTATGAAACTTCAATTCTTGGAGTCCTGTGTGTGAATGAAACTTAACAGACGCTGAAGGTATGGTTTCATATCAGTAGTTACTGTTCATTTACACAGATATCATAGCAACCTTTGATGTTATTACCCCGTGTACGAACAAAAAGTGAAGTTATTGCAACAAATGTACTAGGAATAGTTCTTAATGAAGGCTTGTATACAGGCAAAACTTCCGAGAATTAAGTTAGCTTCGAGAAATACTGCGTAAATTTGTATGCTAAGTTACAAAACTAAAACTGAATATTATATTTATCAGGCAGTACGAGTGATGTGAGGCCAGAGAAGTGTAGGAGCAGAAAGACCACCACCATGAACCCTGCAGTTACAAGAACAGCAGCAGCAACAACAACAGCAACAGGCCAAGAGTGAAAGGCAAGTCTTTCCATGTTCTCTGTTCTAAGCAGAAAGTATGATCTGTTCCCAGCATTTATATGTGCCCCTCTCTTCTTAGAGTGTGCAACAGATTTT